AAATCTTTAACATGGTTTGGGGGTTGAAACTGGGGCACTGCAGGACATCTCTGAAGGAGGCAGTGGAACTAGACAGCATAGGAGGAGGTTCAGAAGAAAGCAATGCCACAGAAACATAGGAACTGGAGAGATGATCCAGCTTAACCATCTTTTTTTTTTTCAATCTTGACCAAAACATGTAAAATTTACCATCTTAACCATTTTTATTTTTATTTTTTTAAAGATTTTTTTTATTTATTCATTTGTCAGAGAGAGAGAGAGCGGGCGCGCGAGAGCACAAGCGGAGGGAGAAGCAGGCTCCCCGCTGAGCAAGGAGCCTGATGCGGGGACTCGATCCCAGGATCCCGGGATCATGACCTGAGCGGAAGGCAGACGCCCAACCGACTGAGCCACCCAGGCGTCCCCATCTTAACCATTTTTAAATGGACATTACAGTATAGTAATTATAAGCACATTGTTAACTATAAGCACACGGTTGTGCAACAGATTCCTAAAACTTTTCCATCTTGCAAAACAGAAACTATATTGGATAATTCCCCTTTTCCCTCCTCTCCGCCAGCCCCTGGCAACCACCACTCTACTTTCTAAGAGTTTGACTGCTTTAGATACCTCTTATAAGCAAAATCATGAAGTATTGGTCTTTTTGTGACTGGCTCATTTCACTTGGCACAATGTCCTCAAGATTCACCCATGTTGTAGCAGAGGACAGCATTTTTTTTCTTCAAGGCTGAATAATATTCCTGTGTATGCCTACACCACATTTTCTTTATCCAGTCAGCAATTAATAAACATTTAGATTGCCTCCACCTCTTGGCTATTATGAATAATGCTGCAGCAATGAACATTGGTCTATGAATACCTCTTCCAGATTTAATTGCTTTCTTTTACAGGTTACGGCAAGCCTGACTCACAGAGTAAAGTGACTAACTAAAGCACTTTCTCAACGGTGGTGATATTGCTATTTGGGGTTGGATAGTTTTTCCGTGGGGAATGGGTGGGGGATCTGTCCTATGCATTATAGGCTGTTTAACAGCATGGCTAGCCTCTACCCGGCACATGCCATGGCACCACGACCCTCGCCGCCACCCCCCGCAAGAAAGCATAATTGTATATTGCCAAATGGGGGGTTGGGCAAAAGTATCCGGGGTTGAGAACACAGTTCCAAAGAAACACTCGGGGGCCAGTATAGGTAGGACCCAGGCTGCTGCCCCCCAAGAGATGACAGAGGGCTCTGGAGAAACACAAAGTCTGGCGCGATTTGCAAAGAATTTTCTTTTTAATTCTCAAAAAATGGGAGAGGGCAGATGGATGTCATCCAGTATCGAGAAGACAGCTAGACTAAGAAACTGCAAAGTGTAAAGCTCCCCAGATAAGCAAGGTTCTGAGGTTTGGCCCCCGCACGCCCCCGCCCCTGCGGGGCCTCGCAGTGCATGCTGGGGCTTGCAGTTCCAGCGTAAGAGGGCCTGCGCGCGCATCCCTCCCTCAGCGCGACTTCCTCCCTCCGCGGCCTGCCGCCGCTCCCGGAAGCTGAGCAGGTTAAAGTTTCCCCTCCTCTTAGTCCCGCAGATTGCCAACCCACGTAGCTAATAGGTGGCCGGGCTGGCGCTTTCTCTTACCTGATTGGTCTAGAGTCTGGTGGCGTCCAGACAAACTCGCCGGGGATTGGTCGAATCTTCAGTTTTGAAATTTCGGAGGTTTCGCCGCGCTGCACCGCCCCATTGCTTCTCCGAACCCTTGATCCCTGGAGACCCGGAGCCGAGGGTTTGGGCCGGCCGGGGGTTTCTGCTAGGGAGGCCGCTGGACTTGGATCGGAGCAGCATTTAGGAGACGCGGTGCAGTCGAGTGAGTGAGCGGGCGGCCGGCGGGGCTGGGGGTGGTTGGCGATTCTGTACCCTCCCGCCAACTCCAGACCCGGGGCGTGACACCACCCCGCTTCGCCCCGCGGCCTGGAAATGGACGGGCCACCTCTTCCAAGTGGCGAGGTGGTGACCTGCTTCGGTCCTGGGGCCTGAGATGACTCCTTACCCTCCACCTAGGTCAGCAGATTCCGGAAGAATAATAATCCTCCCCCCTCCTCCCCGGTCGGGTGCCTGGCACCCTGTTTTGTGCTAGGAGGCCCTTTGTTGACCTGGACGCGCATGAAGCGCGCACCAACCCGGGATTATGCCGGATGGCATTTCTGTACAGTTAGCCCTTGCTCAACACCTCCCCCACCAGCTAGCAACGTTTTAAATTGACCATTTCCGGAGGCCAGTGCTGCCCCTCATTTTGTCCCTCCCCAAGGACTTTCTCAGTCAGCGGTTCAATTCCATCCCGCCGCCGTGGCCTTCCCTGCGGGTGCCCAGGGCCAAAACTTGGCGCCCATCTTTCAGAGACTGAAATCGAGCCGGCGGCATAGCTTGTGGTTACGAGCACAGTTTAAATCCAGGCCCCACCCCTGACTTGCTGGGTGACTTTGACTTAACTTCTCTTTGCCTCAGTTACCTTATTTGCACACGGGTATCCTTGAGATCCTGGTGAGTGTTAAATGGAACGATGCTCCACCTGAGCATCGAGGCAGGCCTCCGTAAGCGAGAGCAGCTATTTATGATCGCGACCGTCCTTCACTGAGGTGTGGTAGACGGTTAAGTGCCCCACTTCCTACACCTCAAAAAACAGGCATCGCAAAGGAGGCCGGTGGGGCCTCTGGTCTGGTGGGTGGTGTGAGGGAGGTACTAGGAGAGGAAGGTGAGCTCTCTTCTCCCTTGGTGGGATGTTGGGTGCCCTGGGTTTGTGCACAGAGGTTCTTAGACCCGCAGAAGAGATTTTTTTTTTGCTGTTCTTTCCCGGAGCTTCTGTGGTACACTGATCCTTTCTTTCTCAGAGTCACCTCTGTTCTAACTTACAGTGACCCTTAAATAGCCAAGCTGAGGTCTCTAAAACAACAACAACAACAACTTTTCCAAGGAAGAAGCCTAAATAAACACTTTTTTTTGCACTTTGTGAAAGAAGCTCTCACCAACTGTATTTTGAACAAATACTTAAAAATGAAAAAAAAAAAGATAGTAAACTGTTGCTTGCTATGTCTCTTCAGTGAAGAGCTTTTTTGTTTTGGTTTTGGCTTCCTTAAACAATTTTCTCTTTCCTGGCCTGGAACTGGGGTCCCACACTTTGCCAGGGCTGAGCTCTGGGACAGAGGGTCTGCGGGGAGGGATGACAGCAGAGACCATGCCTGTGATTGGCGCAAAGCTTCTGCCGTCCTGCCCAACTGGCCCTACCCGGATTAGTGCTGCTTCTGGCATCTAGGAGGGATGTGTGTATGGCCAGCCCTAACCTGTGTAGAATGGTGTCCCTGTGTGTGTGTCTGGGGGGGGAGAAGTACCTGTAGGATGTTTATTTCTAGGTGTAGAACTGACAGATGAATTAATTCAGTCAATAAGTATTCCCTTTATGCCAGGCTCTGGGCTTTTTCCTCTGCAAGCAAGACAGACAAGGGCTTGCCCCGAGGGAGCAAATGTTTAGTGGGCAATGACAGGCAGTAAGTAAACAGATATACAGTTATCCAAGTGCCATGCAGAGAATTGAAATCGATGGATGGGATCGTGATGGTGGTCAGGTCCTTCCTGAGTTGCTGAGATCCAGGTACAAATAGGAAGTTTCCAGATAGAGGGTAGATCTTGCTTGAGGAACAAGGCTAGTGTGCCCTGGAAATTAGGCCTCAGGAAGTCTTGTGAAGGTGCAACAGGACCTGGTGTTAAGCTCTATAAGGTGGCAAGGGATCAGTGACTTAGCCCCTCCTTCCAGGAGCTTCCATCTTTTTTTTTAGATTTATTTACTTTAGAGAGAGCGAGAGCGTGCACGGGGGGAGGGGCAGAGGGAGAGAGAAACTCAAGCAGATTCCCAGCTGAGCGCAGAGCCTGACGTGGGGCTCGATTCTGTGACCCTCAGCTCATGACCCAAGCCGAAACCAAGAGCTGGCTGCTTAACTGACTGTGCCACCCAGGCGCCCCCAGCCAGGAGCTTCCATCTTTGGTGGGAGGCTGAGCTCTGCATGGTTCTTGATTTTAGGGGTGTAGATCAGGGTGGTGGGTCACTGCGATGGCATGAGACGTGCAGTCTGTTATGATGGCTGATGTCCATCACTCATTCATTCCCCTGTAGGGATATTTACTGAGCTCCTGCTGTGACCCTAATGAACACTTCCTGGCCTGGGGCTTTGATGATGATTTTATAACTGAGCCTTAAGGAGGATACGTGAGTTGCTGGGTTATTTTAGAAATTAAGAGACATTGGTTTTGTATTTTTTGTATTTTCTTAAAAATAAGGCATTGCTTATCCACTCCTCTCATGCTCTCTCCTCCACTTCTAGGGCATTTCAGTTTAAGGGAGAAGGTGGTAGGGGGCTCTTCGGAGAGGAGCATGTCTCTGAACCCCTACTTTCTTACCAACTCCTTTGGAATGCAGAACTCTGTTCACTGGCCTTTTGAAGAAGCAGTTGGAGCTGATGTTCTTTGGCCTGATGCCAGGGGGTCAACTTGTGTATAGCTCAGGGTGGGTGTGTCTAGCCCTTGCTTACCCACAGGTAGTAAGAGGAGAGCCCACAGGCCTGTGATTGGGCAGGTAGAGAGGGGTCCTGTGCTGATCCAGGAAAGCGGTTGGCCATGTCTTGTCATTTTAAGCCCCAGAAAAGGCCATTCGTAAGGACTGTTGCTACCAGAATTGGCTGGGAAGTGTGGACTTAAGGGGACAGTGGGCTGTGGGTAGGGGGGTCGATTGGGAAGGCATTTGACGAGCAAGAAGGGTGGGCCCTTCTTTTTCTAAAAATGAGGTTAGTGGATTGGCATTTGGGATTTTGCACCTGTGGGGGTGGCTGTGAGCAGGAAGGGGCTCTGATTCAGGTACTGGGTGGTTGTGGCTGGGGATGGGCGCTGTGCCCTAGCAGGCTCTTCCCCTGGAGAAAGTCCCAGCCCCTAACCCTGAACCCTTGTGCCTCTCGTCTGCTTTCACCAGACAGAGCCACCATGGGGTCGACAGCCCCAGGGCCCATTCACCTGCTGGAGCTGTGTGACCAGAAGCTCATGGAGTTTATCTGCAATGTGGACAATAAAGACTTGGTGTGGCTCGAAGAGATCGAGGAGGAGGCCGAGCGCATGTTCACCAGGTAAAGGCGGGGAGCATGTTGGCAGGAGGTGCCTCGGGGGCATAGCAGCCTACATCCCTACCTGACCCACAAGACAGGCTGCTGGGGGTTCCTCCAGAGTGCCCGCTGTGCTGGGGGCTGCCCTAGGATAATGGGAAGAAGGGGAGGTGGTGCTGAGCTGACCCTCAGGATGGGGCTGCAGAGGCTTGCCTGGTAGCCTTGCTCTGCTCTGTGTCTCTGGGAGGAAGCCTTGAATGCCTGGCAGGGGCCTTGCACATGGCCTACAAGAGCTTGGTGCAGGTCATCCCAGCTTGCCCTGTCACTGCCAGGAAAGGGGTGGGGCCAGCTGCGTCGGGGGAGTGGGCTGGCGGTTCAGGGGGCAGCTTCGAACATCACTCTCCTTGTACCAAACAGAGAATTCAGCAAGGAGCCTGAGCTGATGCCCAAAACACCTTCTCAGAAGAACCGACGGAAGAAGAGACGGGTTTCTTATGTTCAGGATGAAAACAGAGACCCCATCCGGAAAAGGTGGGAGGAGGGGCAGGTGGGCTCTGTGGAGGCTTGGTGTCCGCCAGGAGACGTTGATTCGCAGGTGTTCATGGGGGAGCAGAGGCTTAGCAGGAGTAGTGGTGGATGCCATGTGGGCCGTGCTGAGGGGTACGATGTCCTAGGGAAATAAAGTATGACCCAAGACCCCAAGACCATGGAGTGCAGAGTGCGCATGTGTCGTGCACATGCGTGTGTGTGTGTGTGTTCTGGGCCTTGGAGAATGGGAAGGATTTCCAGACGTGGGAGAAGAAAGAGAATCCAACCTACTGCTTGGGTGAAAGGAAGCAGAGGTATGGACCAGGGCTCCCCCTGTTGCTGCATTTGATAATGCCCATGAAAATGACCATGGGCCGCAGAGTACTGGGGTAAAGAGGCTGGGTCTTGGGGTCAGGTAGTCCCTAGCTCTGCCCCTTCTCGGCTGGGTGTCCTTGGGTTAATTTTCCACCTTTGAGCCTCAGTTTGCTCTAAGGTGAGGAGGATGGTCCCTGCTTCTCAGGGCCATCTTCTGGATTAAGCGACAGCGTGAATAGAGCCTCCAGCAAGATGCTTGGTATAGTGTGATCTCAGTCGGCGGGAGGCTTGTATGAATTTAATCTTCCCAACAGTTCTGTGAGGTCTGGTGTTATCCCAGTTTCTAGGTAAGGAGCCTGAGGCTCAGAGAGGAGCAGCCAGGGGTCTCGGCTGGGGGTTGGCCAAGCCTGGACTAGAGCCTTGGTCTTCCACCTCCAAGCCCTCTGATTCATCCTCCACGCGAGCTAGTGGCTCCTGGGAAGATTGGTGCCCTGCTCGATTTTGGGGTGCCCCTTGCCTTGTTGGGTTGTCTCAGCTTCTGCTCCACTGCCTTCAGCAGGTTGTCCCGCAGAAAAACGCGGAGCAGCCAGCTGAGCTCCCGGCACCTGCGCAGCAAGGACAAGGAGGAGAAGCTGGCCACGGTGGTGGGGGAGAACGGCTCTGTCCTGCGGCGGATGACGCGTGCCACGGCCGCGGCCGCAGCAGCCACCGTGGTGTTCGCTGCCCCTTCGTCCAGCCCTGAGTCTCCCACAGCACTGACCACAAAGCCTGAAAACAGTCTGGCCGAGGGCCAGCTGGTGCCCGTGGTGCAGATCAGCATCAGCGAGCGCCAGAGTGCCGAGCAGCACCTCGGCCGGCTCGAGTCCGCCCAGGCTCCCTCTCCGGCTCCGTTCCCTCTAGCCACAGCTCCCGCCTCCCACAGCATCTCGATATCAGAGGAGCAGTCAACCCCCAAGAAGCCAGAGGCTGGGAGACTGGAATCTGTTACCGTGAGCTCCCTGATGGCCACACCCCAGGACCCCAAGAGCCGAGGGGTCGGAACAAGCCGGTCGGCCTCCAAGCTCAGGATCGCGCAGGCTTCCCCAGGCCCGCAGGACCTGTCAGGCTCTCCGGCCTCCCCGTGGCAGGAGCGGGTGCTGGCTCCCATCCTGCCGGACAACTGCTCCACGCCCACGGGTACCCGCATGAACCGGCAGTCGGTGCGGCGCAGCCTGATTGCGCCGTCCTCCCCTGGCCACCAGCCCTCGCTGGCCCAGAAGTACTCCCTGGTGGCCAAACAGGAGAAACCTGTCCGCAGGTCAAGCAGAAGGATTGGCAAGAAAGCCCCTGAAGAGCCAGCTGCCTCTGCCCGCATCATCTGTGAGTCGGGGGTGGGGCTCAGCAGCAGGTGGGGGCGCCTTGGAGGGTCCTTGGCGCCTGGCTCAGCCAGAGGAGCTCTGGGGAACCATCGAGCAAGGAGCTGTCCCTAGAACTTTCTGCAGCAGTGTAAATGTTCCCGGTCTGTGCTGTGCCCTACCGTAGCCACTGCTAGACCCGTGTGGCTGTTGAGCCCTCAGAAAGTGGGTAGTTGAGGAACTGAATTTTTAGTTTTATTACATTTTACTTAATTTAGATTTAAACGTGTGTCTACCGTACTAGGGAGCGCAAATCTAGTCCAACCCTCTTATTTTACAAATGAGGAAACTGAGGTCCAGGGAGGTTGGCCACAGTGTCCCTGTGAGTAATGGCCTTGGTGAGGCTCAAACCCAGATCTTTTACCCAGGGCCAGTGTGTTCCACTTTCTTCCCACAGAGGCTCACTCACGTAGATTGACCACGTTTGTAGGCCGCCTCCTGGTAGCGCAACTGCTGGTCTGGAGATACTGAGGGGAAGAGATGGGGATGCTCACCGCAGTAGGCTCATTCTGGAGGGACAGAGAACTCAGACATTTACCTGCCCTGTGACCTTGAGCAGGTTACAGAAACTTCTTCGTGGGCCTCACCTGTTAACGTTAGCCATGTTTTTATTTTAAGATTTATTTATTTATTTGAGAGAGAGAGTGTGTGTGCGCAGGGGGGAGGGGCTGAGAGAGAAGGAGAGAGAGTCTTCAGCAGATTCTGTGCTGAGTATGGAGCCCAACGTGGGGCACATCCCACAATCCTGAGATCATGACCTGAGCCGAAACCAAGAGTCGGCTTAACCTTAACCGACTGCACCACTCAGGCGCCTCTCACGTTAGCCATTTTTATCATCATCTTGTCCCAGCTCAGGGGACCTTTGTTTCAGTGGGAGCAGCTGTTATAAGCTACAGAGGAGGATAGGTAGCTGTAAAAATCAGGGCTGGCTGCCTGGAGGAGGTGGGGTCGGAGATGGGAGGGTTTTGAAGGATGCCCGGGCTTTTGGCACGTGGGAAAAAATGTAGGGAAAGGTATCCCTAACAGAGGGAACAGCCTGAATGAAGACCCAGAGGAATAACATGGCAAGTAACGGGGTATCTTGGGCTCATATGCCACACAGGGGGCTTGGGCTTGAGCTTGACCCCACTGATGCAGAGGGTGTGGTCCCTTGATGGTTGTTGAAAGGTCTCTGGCACTGTGTGAAAAATGGCCAAAAGGAAGTAGGCAGGGAGACCAGGAAAGAGGCTGCTGCCAGGGTCCAGCCAGAGGATGGCGAGGCAGTGGGCTGATGGAGAAGAAGGGCCAGGTTTTAAGTGAATGTGTCTTAAAATTGGGGTCAGCGTCTGCCTGGCGCTTCCAGATGTATGAAACAGTAGGTTCTCATTTGGCTCTTGCACCAACACTGTTAGCCTGTTAGAATTCCCCTACTTTATAGAGGAGGAACCTGAAGCTTATGGTGGCCACCAAATCTATAAAATTGGGAAACGGTCTTGAGCCCCATGTTTCAGCCTTTCTGGGATGGTGGGCTGCTTGCTGAGGAGGCCTTGTGGAGAGCCCCGGAATGGGGTTCGGTCCGGCAGGTAAAGGCACCTCACCTTGCCAGGTCTCTTCCCCACCTGGGGAAGGACTTCGGCAGGACTTGCTCCGGGTCATGGGGCCTAAGGACTTGCATTCCGGGTGCCCGGCACACTGTCCATTTTTGGATTCTCAGAATGGCTGAGATGTGTCTGACTTGCCTCGGTGGTTACCTCAGGCTTGACTCTGATCCTTGGAAGGGGTCTGATGGAGCAGGTGAGCCTGGAGCTCCAGAGGGAGGGTAGGGGAGAGACTCCAGACAAGTCTGTCTCGCTCTGAGCGCAGGGCTCGTCCACCTTGAGGTGGAAGGAGGAGGAAAAGGAGGGAGACAGTAAAACCTGGAGCCTCGGTGACCTTAGGCACACCCTTCTCAGACCTCAGTTTTCCCATCTGTTAAATGGTGATAACACGTGCCTTGAATGTGGACCCCATCTTAATGCTAGGGTAGGGTACCAGCCCAGTCAGTCTTAAACCATAAGACCCAAGGCCTGTATTCCTGAAGCTCAGTCTGGGTGTGGCCAGGCTTACCCTGAACTGAATTGGGCTGCAAGGGTATGGAACAGTGAGGGAGAGGGGCTTCCTGGAGGCCTTTCTGACACCCAGGCTCTGGGGCTTGGCTGGCCAGGCAACTTGGAGTTGGGGGGGGAGGGTGTCTTATTTTGGGTTTCCCCAGAAGCCGCCTTGATGTCAGGATTTGAGTGCAACTTGTTAATTTTGGAGGTGCAGGAAACACCTGCAGTGGGGTCGTGGGGAAGTGAGACAGGGAAGGCCTGCCAGTGAAGGGGCCTGGTGCTTCGGGGGGGGGCCCCTGGAAGTCAGGTGGAGCACTGAGGCAAGGGGCTGCCGGGCGGGGGGCATTCATCCCCTGCGCTCCTGGCCTGGCGCACGTTGGCTAGAGGGAGCCATTGGGCAAAGAAATGGTACAGCAGTTGGCGGGCAAGTGGGCTCTGATGTGGTTGGGCGGAGGCTGCCTTGGGGTGTTTGGAGGGTCCTGCTCTTTGGGCCAGACTCCTCCTTGGGGTCCCCCAGCCACCTCTGCATTGGGGACCAGCCCATCCGTCCCTCTGCCAGGACTGTCACCATCTCCCTGCCACCACACCAGGCCTGAGGCCTGAATGGCATGGAGATGGCCCTTAACATTCCAGAGGAGTCCTTGTGCTGGTGGAAGAGTTGTGCTGTCACGTGGCCTCTCCTCATCCCTCTGCTCCCTCAGTGAGCACTGACTGAGCTGGGATGGGAGACAAGGGGAGCCATTCTGGCTACTGGCCCCCCGCAGGTGGGAGCAGGCCCCACCCATGACAGCAAGCGGGCTCTGCCCCAGGCCCCGCTACACTCCCGGAAGCAGTGTCCTGCTGCTCTTCTCTCTGTCCCTCACGGTTTGCTGCTCCAGCCCTTTGTTCTTCTTCCCGCCTTCCCTTCGCCCATGGGCACTGCCTGGCCTCACTCCGGCTGCCTCTCAGCTTCACCTCAGAAAAGCCTGCCCTTTCCTGCCTCATGGCCTTCGCAGGTGCTGTTCCTTCTGCCTAGACCAGCAGCTCTCAACTTTCGGTCTAAGCACCTGCTTCCAGTCTTAAAAATTATGGAGGACCCCAAAGAGCTTCAGCTTATGAGGGTTCTGTCCATTGATAGTTACTGTACTAGAAACTAAAACTGAGGGATTTAAAATGTTTCATTTTATTTAATATTTTATTCTCTGTAGTCATATTAATTATGGTGATATTAAAGATTAAGAATATTATTTAATACTTTGATATAAAAAAAACAAGCCCATTACCTAGTAACGTTAGTTGTTTTTTTTTTTTTATTGAATAAAATAAACAACTCTTTTCCAAAACAAAACTGTGTAATGAGGAGACTGGCACACTTCTACATCTTGCAGATCTTTTGAATGTGTGACTCTAAGGAAGGCAGCTGGATTCTGTACTCCATCTGTTGCCTTGTGTTGTTTGAGTTAAAGCACATGAAGAAAAGTTGGCCTCACACAGATATGTAGTTGGAAAAGAGAGGAGTACTTTAAAAGACTTTCCAGATAATTGCGCACACTCATTTTTTTTTTTTTCCAGATAATCTGTGCGTGGCTTCTTAGAGGCTCAGTGCAGTGTGGAATCGGAAACCATCCTTGATCCCACCTTGGTCTGTCTTTCACTGTGAACGGAACTTTTAGCCATGTGTGATTTTTGTAGCCTCGTGCGTTGATCATTTGGAAAGTACTATGTTACTGAGTTACGTGCCTCTTCCAAATATCGACACCCTTCATCATCTGTTTTTTTTTTAAAGATTTTATTTATTTATTTGAGAGAGAGAATGAGATAGAGAGAGAGCATGAGAGGGGAGAGGGCCAGAGGGAGAAGCAGACTCCCTGCTGAGCAGGAAGCCCGATGCAGGACTCCATCCCGGGACTCCAGGATCATGACCTGAGCCGAAGGCAGTCGCTTAACCAACTGAGCCATCCAGGCGCCCTTCATCATCTGTTTTTTTAAAGGGAGCACATTTGTCTTCTGATCTCATCGGAAAAATCTTTAGGTATTGGGAAGCTATGAAGCTCATGGTAGTGTGTACATATTTTTCAGAATTCTATTTTTGGCCTTTTTTGGGGGGGCCACATTTTTTTAACTATTGGCAACAAATATTATTTATTGTTTTATATTAAGTGACAGACTCACTTCATTTTTTAAGAAAATGTCTGTCAGCTATCCAAGATTGAATAGCCATGGTTTGCCAGTTGCCTTTTCAATTAAAAATAGTTCCATGAAAAAGAGTGGCTAGTTGAGCCGGATACTCAAACATGGGCGCTTTCCAGAGACATGGGCGTGCAGCAGAGGGCACTGCGCAAACTTTCCACCCTACCATACAGAGGATTTGGAAGATATGTATTTAAATTTAGATTTGATAAAATTTGTAGTTTTTACTCCTTCATCGAGGACATTCTTAAGTGAAACTGGACATTTCTGTGCTGAGTGTGGTGTACAGTTGGCTTCATGACCTCCGTCTGGCGCTCAGCCTCAAGCCGTCTCACCTAGCATTGCTTTTGAACTTTCAGGGCAAATCCCAGCACAGCGAAAAGGGAAAATTATGTTTTTGTGTTGCCATGGAAACAGGACTCCACAGATCCCACCTGAAAGGGTCTTGTGCACTTGACTTCCAGGAGTCTGAGAGTATGCTTTGGGAACCACTGGCCTGGACATCCTTCTCCCTGCCAACCCTGCCCCTTTGTGACCTTCTTTTCCTTCACGTTTCAGCCTCTAGACCAGCTCAGTTCCCGTCGCCCTTATAGTCTTTCAAAATCCTCTGCTCTTTCCTGTCCTCACACATACCACATGTCTTTCACAGGATTATTTGACGCTTATATAGACTGGATTGTGGCTTTGTCTGTTTTGCTCACCTTTGGGTCCCCAGGGCCCGGGTCAGGGCCTGGTACATAGTAGGGCCTCAAAGAATAATTGTTGAATGAATAAGCTGCTTTGTGTTGGGCCCCATGCTGCATGTTGGGGACCTGGAATCAGACATTCCCAAGACACTCCCAGCCTGGTGAAGGAGCCAAGACGTGCCCTCAGATGGGCAGGTTGCCAGCTAGGGAGTAGTGGGAGACATAAAACCAACAGCTCTCCTGTGGGTGCTAGGAGCAGAGAGAATGTACTCAGGGCCTCTCCACCCAGTGAAGGGAGGGGTCTCTGGGGTGGAGAGGGCCTGGGTCTAGTGAAGGGAGGGGGTCTCAGGTGGAGAGGGTCTTTGTTTAGTGAGAAGGGTCTCTGGGGTGGAGAGGGCCTGGGTCTAATGAAGGGAGGGGTCTCTGGGGTGGAGACGGCCCGGGTCTAGTGAAGGGAGGGGTCTCTGAGGTGGAGAGGGTCCGGCTGCAAGTGAAGAGTGGCCAAGTCCCAACCAGCACCTGGGCCTTTTGGACCGGTACCTGGCCAGTTTCTGAGGTATCATTCGTTCATTTGTTTTCCCCGCAGGTCACAGTTACCTGGAGAGGCTCCTGAATGTGGAGGTGCCCCAGAAAGTTGGGTGAGTTCAGTTCCAGGACTTGGGGACCTTTCCAGGGCTGGGCAGGGCACATGGATTCTGTGCAGGTGAGCCCCAGGCCTGGAAGCATTTCCTGTACCCAAGCTTTCCCTCCTGGTGGGGACTGCCTACTGCTGCAGCCTCACCCCATTCTAACCAGGCAGCAGATAACACAGGTGTCAGCCCTGGCCTGGCCGTGACTCTTCTAAGGCTTACCCTGGGGCATGGGCTCCATGGGTTGTCAAATCCACAGGGCCTGCTGGCCCTTCGGTGAATCGAGAGCCGGCCTCACCAGAGACAAGAGACAGTGGCTCATCGGGGCATGCAGGGTTGGGGTGCAGCCGGGAAAGGGCTGACATCCCGAATCAGGCCCCTGGCTCTGGCTGCCATCCTGGCCTGCCTGGCACTGTGGGTTTGTGACCCAGGCCAGGGCGTCTGATGGGTGGGGGAGGGGCTCCTGTGAGGAGGACTCAGGCCGGCTGAGCGCGTCCCACATGCCTCTTGGTCCGCTTTCAGCCTTGAGCAGAAGCCCAGCGAGGAGGCTGAGACTGTGGAGGCGGCTGAGCCAGAGGTAAGGCGAGCGGGCCAGGGAGAGGAGGTCTCAAGGGGCTGGGAGTCCCTACCGGGTGAGACCGCAGCGCCTTGGTTCCTCCCCCCAGGTCCCCAAGAACATGCCCCGCAGTGCCACCAAGATCGCCATTAGCACACCTGGCTCGCGGCCTGTGGCCGGTGGCCAGGAAACACCCTCTGAAGGGCAGCAAGGTGAGTCTTTCTGACCTGCCATGGACAGAGACCAGGGCCGTGCTGGCCTTGGTGGCCTTGGCCTGACTTCCTGTCTGGGGAGAGGGAAGCCCATATCCTGGGCTGTTGGCCAGAGGTAAATGAGACCCAGGGGTGGTCGATCCCCTTTGGGTTCATCACCCAGCTTTTGGCTGGAGCTGCTGCTGAGCACCATGTAAGTGGCCATGGCTGGTCGGGGTGTGAAGCTGGGGGAGGGTGGGGGGCCTGAATTGGGGCATTGACTGCAAATGTGCCGGGTCAGAGACTTGAGCCCCTCTCCTGGGGGCAGTGGGAGGAACTCTGTGCTGGGGTGTTGGCCTTGTTATGTCTCTGCCGCCAGCTCACTTCTCACCTTTGTGGGTCTCCCTGCATGAAGAGGACAGGAGAGCTATGGGCTCTGGCACCCCCCGGCTGCCAGGGGCGTCCGAGGGCCTGGCTCACATCTCCTCAGCGGGAAGAGCACGACAGCTGTGAGGTCTTTGAACATGGCTTCCCAGCTTCATGTTCAAAGGGGGTTGGGGACAAGGGCCGCGCCAGCCCTGTAGCCCACGGGCGAGCTGCAAGGTCCCTTTGGAGAGTGTTAAACGGGAGAGGGAGATTGGTGCTTTCCCTGAGCAGTGAAACAAAATGTCCTCACCCCACACGCCACGTGGGGACCCTGCACGGGAGCCCTTCCCTCCTCCTATCATGCCGGCCCCAGCTGATAGGCCTGGAGGAGTGGGGTTTCGAAGGTGGGTGAGGGGTCTGTTAGAGTTTGCAGTTTCCATAGGCTTCTGCTCCTGAAAGGTGCCCACCCGCCTGGGTCTCCGTGTTGGAGGTGGACGAGCCATGGTTGGGGTCACCTCAGTAGGATTGTCCTGCTGTTCTTGTCATAGGCGCCAGGCATGGGGGGGTGAGGGGTCCACAGGCTGGGCATAGCATGCTGGGCTCTGGATGTCCCCAGATTTCTCAAGGCCAGTCGGTGCTGAGGCTGATGGCTTCTGCCACTGACCACCCTGGGGTCTGCCAGGAAGAGAGCCTTGCCCCCGCCACAGCTGCTGCTGGGAGTGAGGGTGGGGTGGGGTGGCTGACCCCTCCAAGCTGTCCCTGCAGTCTCACCAAAATTGCCATCTTCACAGGGCCCAAGACTGACCAAGCAGATGGCCCCAAGGAGCCACCCCAGAGTGTCAGGTTTGCATCTGGGCAGGGCTGTGCAGGCAACTATTGTGAGGGGCCCAGAGGGGCCTGAACCTTGAGTCCTTTTTCGGGGAGGGTGGGCATGTGGTCGGGGGCCTCCGCTTCCTCTCGACAGGGGTGGGCCCTAGGACTCTGGCTGACTGAAGGAGCTGGTTCGCTGCTATTGAGACAAACCTGGCCTGGGAGTGGGTGACCAGATCCTCGACCCCGTCCTCTGCATCCGTCTGGCTTTGTGACCTAGGACAGGTCACGTCTCTTCCTCTGGGCAGCAGAGGGGTGGTCAGGGAGACCCTACCTCACCAGTGCTTTTTAGTCTGGAGCCCTATGCTGGGCCCACTTTTGTTCAAAGGGTGACCTTTTATGGGGTGGGGCTGGGGCCCTGGGGCGGGCCCTGGGCTCAGCCCTGTGACACGGCTTTTGCCATGCTGCGGCAGGAGGAAGCGCAGCTACAAGCAGGCAGTGAGTGAGCTGGACGAGGGGCAGCAGCTGGAGGACGAGGAGCTGCAAGCCCCCAGGAGCAAGACCCCTTCCCCGCCCTGTCCAGCCAGCAAGGTGAGTGGGCATCTGCCCTCCCTCGGTGCCCTGCCCTGTGCCTGAGTCCTTACCGTGGTCCTCATCCACAGGTGGTGCGTCCCCTCCGGACCTTCCTGCACACCGTGCAGAGGAACCAGATGCTCATGACCCCGACCTCGGCGCCCCGCAGCAGCGTCATGAAATCCTTCATCAAGCGCAACACTCCCCTGCGCGTGGACCCTAAGGTGAGGGAGCCCGTACCCCTGGCCAAGCTTGGCTAGAGCCGTCCTGCCTGTCCCCTCGGCTGCTGGGAGTAGCGTGGATCTGGGCCAAGGCAGCTGTGACCTGGCCCTGGTCAAGGGCCAGCTCCATCCTCTATGGCCACAGGCTGCCTCATCATTTGAGGACTGTCCTGGCTCCTTGGGCTCCGCACTGCGGCTTAGAGGCTCGGCCGGCTCAGCGTGACGCGTGGGCCTCGGGCGCTGAGCTGGGAAGCAGTAGAAATGGCGCAGCCGGCTGCTGCCATGACCGTCCATCCCCACACCCCCCACGCCCCCTCCGGGGCCTTGAGTAGTTAGGGTGAGGGACACGTGGACGCTGTGCTTGCTGGGGATGGGGGCTGGTAAGATGGGAGGAGGTGGCAGGGGGAGCTGCTGATGAGAGGCTGCGGGGCCCCAAGCTGATGCTGGCATGGCCGGGAGGGTGGCCTGCTTTCAGGGTGTCCCCCAGCCTGGCATTAACTCCTGGCTCTTTCCTTGTCTCCTCTCCCCCACAGTGCAGCTTCGTTGTAAGTAAAGCCTTTTCCTGCCCCGGTAACCTAGCTGCCCCTAGCACTCACCTGCTTAGCCCTGCTCCTGCAAACCCACCAGCGCCTGTAGAAGCACTAACATGGGAAGTGGAGGGGTGCGGCCAAGGGGGTGGGGGAGCCTGAGGCGCTGGGTGACCGCCTGGAGACGCCCAGCCCTTCCGGGTGTCCTCCCCCTGCAGGGCCTGCCCTCTCTGCCCTTGCCTCTGCTCCCGGGAGGGCGAGCGTTGATCTCAGAGCCTCCCTGAAGGCCGAGGAGGCAGAGGGGGTGCGACCTGTGGCTGTTTATGGGGCCACAGCTTGAATTTCCCCACAACACCTCCCTCCCCGCTCCCCAGCACCGGGCTCCTCCCACTCAGGGTCTGGGGGTGGGGGTGGGGGGCTGCGAAGAGAACAGAGAAGTTGTCTCTGATCCCCAGACCACTGAGCTCGAGCGGGTGGCAGACGGGAGCTACTGCCGTGAGGGGCAGAGCAGTGGGGGACACCAGGGCTGAAGGCTGGGTCTTGTGGGCGTAGCAGTGGAACCGTCAAGAGCGGCCTCTGAACGGAAGGCCGCCGAAGCTGTTCTCTTCCCAGGTACCTCAGAGCTGAGCCGGGCCTTGGGCCCTGAGGAAGGAGCCCCAGATAGCCAGGATCGGCTCAGTCTGGGGTCTTGGCTTCCTGGGGTCTCCTTTGTTCCCACTGGCGCTTTGAAGGGCCTCCTACTAGGAGGGCTTCTGCCTCTAGCTGACGGCCTGGGGCTTGGCGGGTCACGGGGCTTCTCGGCAGCTAGACAGGTCGGCCCTAAACTTGCCTCTCCTGTAAGGAGGCTGGTCCCCTTTGCTTGAACGAGGCGATGGCATGCCTTCCATTGTGCAGGCAAGCAGGCTGTGTGGCCTTCCACACCTACTTGTGTGCCAGGCCCCTGCTAGGCACCTGGGCCCACGGCAGTGAGCCAGACTTGGACTTGCTCTTCCTACAGAGAACTCCCATGGCCCACACGGACGGCCTGGAACCTGACAGGCCTCGTGGGGATGACCGAGAGGTCCAGAGAGCTGCCCTTTCCTGCTCTGGGGAGCCCAGGTCCCTCACCGGGCATCTGGGGGTGGGGGGCCAGTTCTCGGTTAGGAGACAGGGGGCCTAAGTGGGTCACAGGGACCTCAGGGCCTTGGACTAGTTGCCTAACCTTTGGCTGAGTTTCCTTTGGCCACAAAAGGAGATGGAGGTCGCTTCCTAGAAATGGATGAGCCAGAGTCCTGTGTTCCAAGCACCCAGCACAGGGCTTGGTATGAAGTGGTTTTTAGTAAAAGGCAGAGAGACTGCTAGGTTGAGGCCCCTGGAGGCAGAAGGAGCCCAACAAGCTTTTGGTTTTCTCACCTGCTGCCTTGGCCCCGATGGTAGCCTCTGGGGAGCAGGGACAACCCAGCCCACCTCGGAGGCTTGGGGGCAGAGGGCGCACATGGATTCTATGACTAGGACAACTCTTGCTTTCTTCTATAAAATTCACAATGCTCAGGATAGTTTCCCTGATCTGGGTTGGGAAATTTTAGCACTCAAACTTCGGGACTGAAACCGGTTTTGCTGAGCCCTATGGGAAGCAGGAGTCTGGTTGGCACTTGGGGCAGGAAGAAAGGGCAGTGGGTGCTTCAGGTGCCACGGGAGCTTTGCCTCCCAGGTGCTTTCCTCACCGAAGAGCAGGGGGTGGGAGTCGACTTCTGCTTGGGTGACCCTCTTGAACCTGCAGAGTTACACCTTTTAGCAAACGTGGAGTGTTTGCAGCCACTATTGCTAAGAAATTGTTTCGGTATTGCGTTCTTTCCTCTCCATCGTGGGTGGTGACGACCCCCTGCCAGCAGTGGGCCTTCCTGCGTGGTCTCTCAGTCCTTCGGGCTCTGTTCATTTCTCCTCAGTCGCTTTTTCTGTCTGTTTGGATCAGATACATTTTATTGACTTACTTTCATGTTTACTGACATCTGCCTGTCTTTCCCATTCTGCTTTTGGACCTAGGCACTGAATTTTTTATCTCTGTTACTATATTTTGAGCTCTAAAATTTCCAATTTGCTTTTTTCTAGATCTCCTATTTGCTGAGATTTTCTTTTTTGCCAATTGTCTTAAGGTGATTACTGTCGAAACATTTTTATAATAGCGGCTGTGACATCTTTGTCAGATAAGTCTAACAACATCTGTCATCTTGGTGTGGGTGGCTGCCGATTGCCGTCACCTGGGAGCTGAGACTTTCCTGGTTCTTTGTGTGCTCAGGAACTGTGGATCATATCCTTGCCATTTGGAATATCACGTTAGGGGGCTGCGTGTTTAAATCTTATAGAGAATGTTGGTATTTTGCTCTGCCAGCGACCCAACGGGTTTGGTTCAGGCTGCAGGTGCCACCCTGCCTGCTGTGGGGTGTGGTTCCGATGTTCAGATTTCAAAGCCTCTGCCGTGCTCTTTGGATCTGTCCTGGGTGTGCTGGTCGGTGGTCAGGATAGGATCTGGCAGGCGGTCTGTGAGTTTAATTCTCCGAGGTTTGTGGTGTAATATTTAGGGTCCGATCTGTGCATCTGCAGCCCGCGCTGCACCTTGGCATTCACAGACAACCCTACGGTGTTTTCTCCCTCCATCCTGCACATCTCCCCTCTCTGTGGCTCCCCCTCTCCGTCCTCCAGCCGGGAAGCTGGGGCTTCAGTTACCCTGCTCTGCTGTGTGCTTCCATGGCCGCATCCAGGGTCACCTGGTGTGGGGTACACAGAGAAGACCAAAAGCCTTGTCACAACCTTCTGGGATCGCAGCTCTGCTGTGTGGAGGGGGAGCTTCTCCTCCCTCAGGGTTTTGACTCTGCAGGTTCCTGTAACTGCCGCTGTTCCCGCTGCCACAGGGTTCCTTGTGGCCTGGGGCATGAGAGGAGGAAGGAAAGGAGAAAGCAGAACCGGGATTCTGCATACTCTGAGCATCAGACGTCCCCTTCCACTCCCTGAGTCGGAACGAGAGGGCCTTTCCCAGATTCTGTCTGCACCCCACAGGTCCCTTTGGGGTTTCAGACCTCACTGAGTTTAGACTAGAGGAAAAATAATGGTAAACTTTCTGCGGTCCAGTGATGCTTCAAAGCCTGACCTTCCCCCTCGGCGTGCTCACATAGGCTTCACATAGCTGTTCCGTGCAGTCGGGTTTTATAGGCACATTCAGCGGGAGAGGCTGCGTGGAGTGTGTCTACCCTCAACCAGGAGAAAGCCTTCTCTCCATCTTTAGGGTTGTATTACCTTGGGGCCAGATTTCTAGGTGGGAAATCTGCAGTCAAGGTCAGAGGCCAAGGGGAGATGGATAGTCACTCATGCAGGGAGAGGGGCCTATGCGTGGCCGAGCCCAGAGGTGAGAGTCTGATGGGAGCCAGGAGAGGGGGGTGGGGGGGAGCGGCTCTGGTCCATGCCCTTGGCCATCAGGGGGCAAGTACAGGTCTGGTCCTTGGCCAGGGAGGGCTCGGAGCCCCCACCTATGCCCTCTGGTTGCCCACTGCTGTGCCTCTGGGGCTTTCTGGGCATGCGGAGAAGGAGGGGCCCAGCATTGATCTGCTGAACAACCAACTAGTACTTTAAAAAAGTTGTAAAAATCGTTATGTACCTGTATCACAGGGAGTTTGGAAAATATGCCATCCTTAATATTTATCTCCCCAGCTTGTGGTAATCTGTGTTAGCATTTGGCCATATTTCATTTTTTTTTAAATATTGAGAAACACAAAAGAGTGTGTGTGTGTGTGTACACACATACACACACATAGTATAAACAGAGCATGGTACTAATAGATGAACACTTATGTACCCACCACCCCCTGTGTAGAACATTAACCCCAACTTCTACAGCTGTCTCTCCCTTCCCGGTCTCATCCTTCCATCTCTTCCCAAGTGCACTTTAACATAGTTCTAATCAGAACATTTATCTAATTTTGAACCTGATTTTTGTGCTGCTGGGACTTGGCAGGGCTCAGTCAAGGGCACTTGGGAGGCCTTACGGTCCCCGACCCCCCAGAAGGACTGCAGCCCCAGGCCTCAATCTGGGGAGGGAGGCATGTTTGGGAATGACTCTGCCTCTCAAGCAGTGCGGCCGGGGCCCCGGGGGGCTCCCCCCCCGCGCTGCACCAGGGCTTTGCTCACCCCCCCCACCCCCTCCCGCCCCGCCCCGCCCCAGGAGAAGGAGCGGCAGCGCCTAGAGAACCTGCGGCGGAAGGAGGAGGTCGAGCTGCTCCGCAGGCAGAAGGTAGAGGAAGACAAGCGGCGGCGGCTGGAGGAGGTGAAGCTGTAAGTGCTCTGGCTCCTGGCCCCGGCCCCGGCCCGGCCCGGCCCCGGCTCGGCTCCCTGTGACTGCCCTGTGCCCGCAGGAAGCGTGAGGAGCGCCTCCGCAAGGTGCTGCAGGCCCGGGAGCGGGTGGAGCAGATGAAGGAGGAGAAGAAAAAGCAGATCGAGCAGAAGTTTGCTCAGATCGACGAGAAGACTGAGAAGGTACGAGCCTCGGGCTGGTGGGTTGTACCCTGGTGGGTCCCAGGCAGGTCAGACTCGGGGGCCCACAGCTTCTGGGTGCCCCCCCCCCCGCCGGGCCATGGGGAACAAGCTGGGTTTGCAGGGGCAGGGGGTGCAGAGTTCTGGGCCCATTCTGCAGGGCTGAGTGAGGAGGGGTGTGCTCTGCAGGCCAAGGAGGAGCGGCTGGCTGAGGAGAAAGCCAAGAAAAAGGCAGCAGCCAGGAAGATGGAGGAGGTGGAGGCGCGCCGGAAGCAGGAAGAGGAGGCCCGGCGGCTCAGGCGGCTCCAACAGGTACGAGGACAGGTGGGCCTCGGGCCTCGGGCATCGGGAAGGGTGGGGAAGGCCGGGCCATGCCACTGCGCACACCCCACTCTGTTGGGTCGGTCTTGGTGGCTCTTGTGGCTTCAAGCCCGGAAGAGGTTCATCAAATGCCTTGGAGACGTGGACGGTGACAGTGACTGGCCTCCCGTGTCCTGTGGAGGTGACAGTTCGAGGGTTAAGTGTATAGACTCTGGAGCCTGACTTCCAGTCTCGGCTCTGCTGCTTGGCAGCCGTGCGACCCTGGGCGGGTCACCCGACTCGGCTGGGCATCCGTGCCTTCAGGGTGACAGTGGTATCTGCTTGATAGGGTTGGTGGGAAGACTGAACATTTTGCCTCGAAGAGGAGGGGGTTTGCTTCTTCCTGGGGACCGTCAGGCTTAGGACGGTAGGGAACACAAATCTGTCACTAGGGGGTTGTAAATCCTAGGAACCGAAGTTTAGGTAGTATTTGCCGTGCGCCCGACGCCGCTCGCAGTCTGTCCGCTGTATGAACTCCACAGCTTGGTGAGCTTGTCGGTGTTCCTGTTGTTCCCGCCTTATCAGTGAGGAAAGCGGGGCCAGAGAGCTTAAGCCACCGGGCCGGGGTCACACAGCCGGGGAGTCTGGCTTCAGCGGCAACCGTTGAGTCCTGGCTTTGCCGCTGAATGAAAAGCAGTTGTGGTGGGGATTCTCGTGGAGCTTTGCCCCGGGCTGTCCCCGCTGGGAGGGGAGCAGGCTTGTCTGGCCGGGCTGTCCTCGCTCCTTCCCGGACCTGCGCCTCTCACGTCGCTAGCCCAAGGCTGGCCGGAGGCCCCCGACCTTTTGCTGTCTGTTCACCAGGACGAGGACGAGCGGCGGCACCAAGAGCTGCTGCAGAAGAAGAAGGAGGAGGAGCAGGAGCGGCTCCGGGCCGAGAGGTGAGGGGGCCCCCCCGCGCCCCAGCCGGCCAGCCTGGCGTCCTGGCGTCGTGCCGCCGCTTCCCTGGGGCCGTGGGGCAGGGAGGCGGCTCCCCCCTCACCTGGGGGTGTGCGAGAGGACGGGCTCTTCTCGGGCCGGGGGCTGGGCCAGGGCGCGGCTTCCTGCCCTGACAGGCCCTTGCCGGGTCCTCAGGGAGCAGCAGGAGCGGGAGCGGGAGCGGGAGAAGGCCCTGCGGCTACACAAGGAGCGGCTGCAGAGGGAACTGGAGGAGAAGAAGAAGAAGGTAGAGGGGAGCGGGCCGGGGCTCCCCTGGGGGCTGCAGGCGTAGGCGCTGCCTCGCTGCGTGGGGGTGGCCCGAGCCGGGGAGGGGGGAGCCCCACACGCACGATCTCTAACGCCCCGCCGCCGCCGGGCCCCAGGAGGAGCAGCAGCGCCTGGCCGAGGAGCGGCTGCAGGAGGAGCAGCAGAGGAGAGCCAGGGAGGCGGCGGCGGCCAGCAAAGGCCTGACTGCGACCCCGGACGCGCAGGTGAGGCGCCCCCCCCCACCCCCGGCTCTGGGTCGTCCCCTCCCAGTAGCTGGAGGCGCGGACTGTGTCCTAGGACCACAAGAAAGAGGAAGCATACAGTTGGCCCAACTGGTTTTACCATTTTTGGTGTGTATGTTTTCTTGCTCTTGAAAGTAGAATTCGTTGTTAAGAAAGAAGAAGAAACTAAACTTTTTTAAAGAATATAAAGTGAAAGAAAGGCACCCTTACAGGAAAACTCGAAGTCTGGTGTCTTTCTATAGTTTGCACACATAAACCTTCTCTACACACGCACACATATACACACACTCATTCTCTCACACGCACACACATTCTCTCTCACATGCACGCACACACATTCTCTCGCACACATACTCATTCTGTCTCACGCACACATACACTCATTCTCTCACACGCACACACATTCTCACGCACACGCACATACACATTCTCACGCACACACTCGCACACATACACGCACTCATTCTCACGCACACTCGCACACAAACACACATTCATTCTCACGCACTCTCGCACACATACACACTTATTCTCACGCACACACTCGCACACATACACACACTCACGCACACATACTCATTCTCACGCACACTCGCACATACACATTCTCTCACGCACACACTCGCACACACACTCATTCACACGTTCATTCTCACGCACACTCGCACGCATACCCGCACTCATTCTCATGCACACACTCGCACACATATACACACACATTCTCACGAACACTCGCACACATACACGCATTCTCACGCACACTCGCACACATACACACTCATTCTCACACATTCATTCTCACGCACACACGCACTCATTCTCACACATTCTTACGCACACACTCGCACACATATACACACACATTCACACACACACACACATTCACGCACACGCACATACTCATTCTCTCACACATACACACACATACACACATATACACACACATTCACACACACACATTCACGCACACGCACATACTCATTCTCTCACACATACACACGTTCATTCTCTCACGAACACTCGCACACATATATACGCACTCGTTCTCACTCTCGCACACATACACACATTCTCACTCATTCTCACGCACACACTCGCACACATATACACATTCTCTCACACATTCTTACGCACACACTCGCACACACACTCATTCTCACGCACACACTCGCACACACTCATTCTCACGCACACTCGCACACATGTACACGCACTCATTCTCACACGCACACACATTCATTCTCACGCACACTCGCACACATACACACTCATTCTCACACACATACACACGGACACACTCTCACATACACACACATTGTCACACACGCTCACACACTCATTCTCTCACACATTCTCTCACGCACACACTCGCACACATGTACACACACTCATTCTCTCACACATTCTCTCACACACTCGCACACGTACACGCACTCATTCTCTCACACGGACACACACACATATACATACACTCATTCTCACACTCTCACATGCACACACGCAGAGTTTTCAGTGAGCACCGCTGTACATACTGTCAGTCTGCTCGGGCTCCTGCCACGAACTGCCACACTCGGTGGCTTCAGCAACAGTTCTGGAGGCCGGACGTCCAAGGCCAAGGCGCCAGCAGATTCAGCGGCGGTGAGCGTCCTCTCCCTGGCTCACAGACGGCGGTCCTCTCCCCATGTCCTCCCATGGCCGGGGGCAGGGGGCTCTCTGGGGACTGTGTTCTAAAGGCACTGATCTTACTCATGTGGCCTCCACTCTCATGACCTAATTACCTCCAAAGGCCCCACTTCTCAATATCATCACACTGCGGGGGAGGATTTAACAGAAGAATTTGGGGGGTGTGGGGGGCACAAACAACATTTTGTCTATAATATATACTAATTTGGCCATTTGAATTTCTTCCTCCTCTTTTTTCCCCTTTCATTTAGTATGTTGTAGACATCTGTGTGTTTCAGCACTTGTAAATCTCTTATTTGACGGCCGTGTACCAGTTACTTGTACCAGAATTTTTTTTTCTTTTTAAGATTTTATTTATTTGTTTACAGTGCGAGCAGGTGGGGAGGGAGAGGGAGAGAGAGCATCTCAGGCACACTGTGTGCTGAGCGCGGAGCCCAACGCGAGGCTCTATTTCAGGAACCTGAGATAATGACTTAAGCTGAAATCAAGAGTCAGACACTCAACTGACTGAGCCACCCAGGCGCCCCTGGAACCAGAATTTCTTTAACAAGCCCTGATGGGCGCCTGGGTGGCTCAGTCGTTAAGCGTCTGCCTTCGGCTCAGGTCATGATCCCAGGGTCCTGGGATCGAGTCCCACATCGGGCTCCCTGCTCCGCGGGAAGCCTGCTTCTCCCTCTCCCACTCCCCCTGCTTGTGTTCCCTCTCTCGCTGTCTCTCTCTCTGTCAAATAAAAACAAAACAAAACAAAAAAACAAGCCCTGGTAACAGCTTAATATTCTTATAAACAAAATGTATGTTTTCGTTGCAGTATAGTTTATGATAATGAAATGAACCAAATGTTCATCTATAACAGATGGTTAAAAAAAAGTACCAATCATGGGGTTCCCAGGGGAGTATCCTGGGCTTTTGGAAAGGGGACACACTGACCAGACAGAACATTTGCAAAACACTTCAACTTGAAAAAGGAAGATACAGTCATGTGTGTGGTGTGACTTTTTTAAATTAAAAAGCGAACCCCTGAACGCTTTTTATTCCCCATGAAATGAGGGGTGCTGACTAGAGCCCCAGCACTCCTCAGCGGTGAGAGATGCAGGAATGCGGGGGAGGGGGAGCTGACGGCCACGTTTGTCTTCTCCAGTCTCCAGCTTGTACCTCCTATCAGATGACGCCACAGGGCCACAGGGCCCCCCCCAAGATCAACCCAGATAACTACGGGATGGATCTGAATAGTGATGACTCCACCGATGATGAGGCCCATCCCCGGAAGCCCATCCCCACCTGGGCCAGAGGTAAGCAGGGCCCAAAGTTCCCCGGGAGACCTGGGTCCTCACTTGTGACATCTAGGACCCTGGAGGTAGTGGCTCGGCAGCTGTGGGTGTGTCAGGAGGCTGTTGTACCCACGGGCTGGCAGACTGAAGCATTGGCCCAACAAGCCTGCGTTGGGCCTTGGGATGTGCCCAGGGAGGGGTGGGCACTCTATGGCCAGTGGGCTCATCTGAGGACCAGATCAATGGTGTTGGGTACCTCTGTTCTCAACAAATGAGTTAAATGATGGCTGGCTGCAGGCAGGCATGGTGCTGGGTGTTCTAGCTCGGGCTCTAGGCCCCTCCTTGGAGCCCCACCCAATGGGCCAGCTGAGAGTTGGACCCAAATAAGGAGCTTAGGGTAGGAATAGCGCCAAGAGGGGTAACAGATTTTAGGCAGCGCCCCAAGAGCTAAAGGCAGCTGGGGAAGGCCTGAGGCAGGGGCACTTGAGCAGGATTTGACCCCAGAGTTTACAAGCCCCAGAGTCTAAACAGGAATGTGGGTGAGGGTGACCAGGCCACCGCCGACCAGGGCGCAGGGCCTACTAGGGAAGGGGCGGGGCCCGTGCATACAGTGGGCACTTTTATAGAGTGTGCTGAGCTGGGGGTCAGGGTGGGGTGCAGTCTCACTCTCCAGCGAGAAGGGCCCAGAGCCCCGTCGGGGGTCAGCTCTCTAGAGAAGACAACTTGCTTCGGTATCACCTCATTTGAACTCCATGTTAGCCAGAATCTGATTTGGTCTCCTTACCTTCTGACATCAGGTCATTTGGGAGGTGGCAGCAGGCAGGAGTGAGCATGGCCGAGGAGCCAGATGGCCGGCAGAGCCACCTAATGGTGGTTGACCTTTGCCAGCTTACTTAAACTGGCTCAGTTTTCTCATCTGTGAAATGGGGGTGATACCAGCTGAGGAGGGTTATTTAGGATGAAGTGAGTTAGTGTTTGTAAGTGGCGGGCACATTTTCCACCTCCTGACCCCCCAGGGTCCTCCTAAAGCCTTGTTGACAGGGCTGTGTGCCACCCACAGCCGTGGCCCGGGGGCCCCCTTGGTAAGCACCCTGCGCCACGGGACCCGGGGGGCCGGGGAGAGAAGCAGCCGAGCATAGCAGTCAGGGCCGGCAGTGTGTGCTTACGTTCTGGAGCTAGACTGGTCTCCAGACCCCAGCTCCCCAGTCACTAGCCGTGTGCCTCTGGGCAAATCTCCCCATTATAAAGTGGGGAGGATAAAGGAGCTGCCTCCTTGGTGGTTGTGGGGATAATGAGGTCAGGCAGTGAGGGCTCCACGCAGGGCCCGGCTTATGTGAGCGCCTGACGACCCGTGTTCAGGCAGAGCTGCCGGAGGATGGCAGGGGGAACAGGCGGGAAGAGGGCTCTGAGAGAGGAGCTCGTGTGGCAGAGGTGGGGGCGTGCTGGGGTGGAGAGGGTGATGAGGGGCCGGGGGATGGGGGGGGCTCATGAGGCGCCCCAAGGCAGTGACCTGACCCTCCGTGTCCCCCACAGGCACTCAGCTAAGCCAGGCCATCATCCACCAGTACTACCACCCCCCGAACCTGCTCGAGCTCTTTGGAACCATTCTCCCACTGGACTTGGAGGACATCTTCAAGAAGAGCAAGCCCCGCTACCACAAGCGCACCAGCTCTGCTGTCTGGAACTCGCCGCCCCTGCTGGGCGCCAGGGTCCCCAGCAGCCTGGTCTACAGCCTGAAGAAGTACTGAGGCCCCCAGGCCTTCTCAGCAGTCTCAGCCCCGGTGTGTGTCTGTCCGCCCCTCTGGTGGTCTGGTGCCACATCCTGCCTGGTGTTCTGTCTCTGGGGCTTTGCCATGTGTATATAAATGTCCTCTGTGTGCTGCAGGTAGAACATGGCCCAGGCCTGTTTGGAGGCTGCACTCAGTGGGTGTTTGGGGGAGAACCAGCCCAGCCCCACCTGGCCTGCAGACAGCACTCTGTAAATAGATTGTTATAATTCAGCAGAATTTTAGCCTCTAGTGTTCGAGAGCTAGATTAATAAAGTCTGTTCCTTCAAGCCTGCTGTGGGTATTGTGGAGATGGGGGGCCTTGGCAGAATGCCCTGGACCCTGGCCCTGCAGCCACATGTCTCAGGCCACTGATGGGCGGGGGGCACCAAGGGACTTTGCCTTTTCCTGGGGTGTACTTCTAGGTCACCTGGGTCCCACGTCAAGATGCTGATGCGGTGGGTGATTCTGATCCTGTCCTTGGGCAATGCTAAGACACAGGTCAGTTACTTGCATAATGGGGCAGGTGAAGCTCCTTTCTGATTTTCTGGAGAGCCCCCTGTTTGTAAAGGGGAGCTTGTTCCGTGGGAAAGACATGGGGTTGAGGTCAGGAGGACTGGGCTCTTGACCCAGCTGTGCCACCTAGGACAGTCCCTCAGCCCCACGGGCTCCGCCCTAGGCACGCGGATGGTCAAAGGACCTGACGAGGTGTGCACACAGCTAAAGCAGGAGCTCTGATTAGAAAGATGTCTCCCGAAACCACGTCGGGTCCAGTGCTTGCAAGCAGTTGAGATGTTTCTCCAACAAATCCAGGCAGCTGCTCATTAAATGCTTAGTGTCAAGAACTTAGTGGCTCTGGTGCTATCCCTTAGCTGCAGCGGCCGGCTCCTTCTCATCTGCTGCCCCACCCCGAGAACGGGTTGGCGAACTATGGCCTCGTGGGCCAAATGAAACCGCAGTCAGTTTTTGTTTTGTAACAAATACCTGTTTTCTCCGGCTGCTCCGCTGAGGGCAGAGTTAAGTAGTTGCAACAGAGGCCTTATGGCCCACAAAGCTGAAGATACTGTGCCCCTTTACAGAAAGTTTGCTGACCCCTGCTTTAGGACAAAAATAAAGGCTAAATTCAAGAGTGCTTGAAAAATGAGGACATAGTGAACATGCACAACAGACTGAAGTTTAGAGGAATCCACCCATTAAAAAAAAAATTTGATGGTTCATTCAAATATGGTGCACAATTCAAATTGGTTCCATATGCTCTTGGACTAGAAACTGTTGTGTGGAGCCCATTGGCGAGGGCGTCTTTACCTAGAATTGATCAATTTTTTTTCTTTTATGGACTGTACATTTTTTGTATCACGTCTTAGTCATCTTTGTCTAGCCCCAGTTCTCAAAGCTTTCCTCTTATGTTTTCTTCTAAGTGTTTTATAGTTTTACAAACATTACGTTTAGGTTAATGATCTACTTGGAGTTAGTTTTTTTAAAGTGTGAGGTTTCTGTTTTTGGTTTATTTGGTTTTGGGGAGCAATATGTCCAGTTGTTCCAGGACCATTTTGTTGAAAAGACTGTTGTTTGTTTTCCACTCAATTTCTTTTGCATCTCTGTCAAGAATCAATTAGCCCTATTTGTATGGGTCTATGTCTGGACTTTGTATTCTCTTCCATTGATCTGTGAGTCTCTCCTGTTACCGACACCACATCGTCAAAGTTACTGTAGCTTGTATCCATCTTAAAAATCTGTTTGTATGATTCCTCTAGTTTTATTCTTCCTTTTCAGAATTATTTTCACTTTTCCATCAATTTTGCCTCTCCATCCAAATTTCAGGATGAGCTTATTTATACAAAAATGTTGCTGGGATTTTGATTGGAATTACATTAAGTCTGTAGATAAGTTTGGGGAGAACTCACATATGATGGTGAGTCTTCTAAACCATCATATGACTTGTCTCTCCATTTATTTGCATCTATGGCTTCTGCCATCAGCATTTCATAGTCTCAGCATACAGATCCTGTACAAGTTTTGTTGGACTTATAGCTAAGTATTTCATTTTCTTGGAGTTACTGTAAATGGTATTGTTTTTCTAATTTTGGTTCCCAGTTATTCATTGTTGATATATAGAAATACAATTGATTTTTGTGTGTTGACCTTGTATCTTGTGATGCAACTAAAGCAGTGTGTAGAGGGGCATTTATAGTACTAAATTTCTGTGTTAGATGAAAGGTGTTGAATCAGTGACTTCCGCTTCCACTTTAAGAAATTAGAAAAAGAAGAGCGAATAAAAGTATAAGCAGAAGAAGGGAAATAACGAAGGTAGAGCAGAAATCTATGACATTGGAGAGAGAAAAATAATAGAGAAAATTTAACTAAACCAAAAGCTGAGTCTTTGAGAAGCTCAAAAAAAAAAAAAAAAAATCATAAACCTCTAACTGGATCGATCGGCAGCAAAAGAAACAAGTGGCCAGTGTCAGGAATGAGAGGTACAACCATTATAGATTCTATAGTTATTAAAACAACAGAAAGAGTATTATGAGCAACGTATAATAAATTGGACAATTTAGATGAACACAAATTCTTTGGAAGATCCAAATTATTTTAGTTCAATCAAGAAGAAATAGAAGACCTAAATAGCTCTACTTATGAAAGAAATTGAATCTCACAAAGACTACTCTAGACCTAGATTATTTTAGTGGTAAATGCAACCACGTATTCAAGAAAGACATAACACCGATTCTACATAACCTCTTTCAGGAAATTAAAGAGGAAAGAATATTTTCCGCTCCATCAGTGAGGCCAACATTGCCCTGATCCCAAAACCAAACGAAGACACTGGAAGAAGGGAAAATTAGATACCTATCCCTCATAAATCTCAACACAAAAATTCTTAAAATTATAGTAAGTTAAATCCAACAAGTTCTATAAAGAGGATAATACATCTTAACCAAATAGGGTTTATCCCAAGAATGCAAAGTAGGTTTAACATTTGAAAGTCAACTAATGTAATTTGCCATATTAATACGGGAGGAAGACCGTGTGATTAATAGATGCAGAAAGTGCATTTGACAATTCAACGCTAATTTGTGATAAAAGCTCTAAGCAAATTAGAAATTTTTTTGGTCTCATATTCAACTCTGCCTCTCCCATTAAGCTGAAGGTATAGCCAATAATATGACTTAAATTTAAGTATCAAAAAATAAATGAGTGAATGAATTATAACGTGCAAATTAGAATCTAAAAGGAATTTCCTTGGTTTGATAAACCACATCTACAACAACAAAAAAAACTCCAGCAAACATCATGGTGAATGTCTTACTAATAGGTCCAATGCAAAGATGTCCACTCATTACTTCTGAACATTTTACTGGAGGTTCTAGCCAGTGCAATAGGACAGAACAAAGGCAGGAGAGAGGAAGGACTACAACTATGTTCAGAGACAACTTGTGCAAAATCTGGTAGTGTCTACCGGGATGAATGTGTGAGTTTAGCATGGTTGTAGGATACAAAATTAATATAGAAAAATCACATGTATTTCTTTCTTTTTTTAAGTTTAACATTTTAATTGGAAACAGTTCATATGCCCATCCAGTGGAAGCTCAGATAAGCAAAGTGCAATAAACAGAATGAAATATCACACAGAAGTCTCTGTATAATGGAATATTATGCAGCCATCAAAAGGAACGAAATCTTGCCATTTGCAACGACGTGGATGGAACTGGAGGGTATTATGCTGAGCGAAACAAGTCAATCAGAGAAAGACAAGTATCGTATGATCTCACTGATAATGAGGAATTCTTAATCTCAGGAAACAGCGTTGCTGGAGTGGTGGGGGGCGGGAGGGATGGGGTGGCTGGGTGATAGACATCGGGGAGGGTATGTGCTATGGTGAGTGCTGTGAATTGTGTAACACTGTTGAATCACAGATCTGTACCTCTGAAACAATAATACATTATATGTTAAAAAAAAAAGATAGCAGGAGGGGAAGAATGAAGGGGGAAATCGGAGGGGGAGACGAACCATGAGAGACCATGGACTCTAAGAAACAAACTGAGGGTTCTAGAGGGGAGGCGGGTGGGGGGATGGGTTAGCCCCGTGCTGGGTATTGAAGAGGGCACGTACTGAATGGAGCACTGGGTGTTATACGCAAACAAGGAATCATGGAGCACTACATCAAAAACTAAAGGTGTGATGTATGGTGATTAACATAACACACAAAAAAAGTCTGTATAAATCAACATGAAAAGGTATCTTAGATATTTGAAAGGGAAAAAATAAATTACAAAATAAGTACAGTGAATCCATTGTCAAACATTTTTTTCTAAACTATGTAGTATTTTTGCAAATATTGTTTTTGTAATATAAAAACAAAATTAATGATAATGTTCAAAACATATTCACTAAATCACTTAATCACATCTATTTCTATATACTTACCTTGCACAATCAGAAATCAATATTAAGAAACATTGCATTTTATGATAATGTCAGAAATTATCAAAATCTTAGGAGTAAATTTGACAAGAGATGTGAAAGACCTATCCATTAAAACATAAAACATCTCTGAGAGCAGTTAATGGAGACCTAAATGGGACATACATAGTGTTCGTGGATTGGAAGCAATTTTTTTAAGATGTCAGTTTCTTCCAATTTGATCTATAGATTTAATGCAATGCAATTTGAAAGCCCAAATAGGATTTTTTTTGGCAGAAGTTTATGAAAAATGTTTCGAAATGTATATTTAACTTCAAAGGACCTACAATAGCCAAAACAACTTTGAGAAAGAAGAACAGATTTGGAGGGGCTATGTACATACCTTCGAGACTCACTCTACAGTTACAATGTTAAGAATGGTATGGTATTCGTGTTAGGATAGACAAATCAGTGGAACTATCCGGAGTCCAGAAACAGAACTACATACATACAATCACTTGGTTTTCGACAAAAGTGGAAAGGCACTTCAGTGTGGGGAAAGATATTCAACAAATTGTCTTGGAGCAATTGGATATGTTAAAAAAAATCTGCAACCCTTCCTCGCATCATATATCAGATTTCATTCATGACAGATCATAGGCCTAAATGTACAACTCCCAGAAGAAAATGGGACAAAATCCTAGTGTTCGTATTTGGTACAAATTTCTTACACTTGACACAACAAGTATGAACTATAAAAGAAAAAGTCTACGTTGGATTGGTATAAAGGTAAAAGTCAATCAAAATTAAAAACTTTTTCCTCTTTAAAAGTTGCTGTTATTCAACATCTTCTCTCCTGCCCTCCGCATGATTGGAATGGTGCAAATAA